ATTTTTAGAGATTCTAGTTCGATAGCAATATATTCCTCTGAACGGGTGTCGCCGAAATGCTGGGTCGAAATTTCTTTCAAATCCTCCAGCGTACTTAAACTAGGGTTATCACTAAGTAGAGTCGCAGCTCTACCACTAAGCTTACTACTTATAGCATGGAATCTATATAAATTTGAATCTTAGACAAATATAGGTAATCTTTGGGGATTTTTTTTCTAACAAGGGGTTGAAATACAATTTTGTTTAATTAAAAACATCTACTAAATCTTCTTCTGTTACCCTGTATTTTTTCTTTGTGGATTAAATGAACAGTTATTGAGATTTTTTTACTTAAATATCCAAGAATTTAGGCATTTCAACCGCAGCTAAGGCCTTAACGCAGCGGACGCCTTAACGCCTTAACGTCTGTTGCAATACGTATAATACATAGCTAGCCAAGAATTGTTTCAATACGAGAAATATGCTCGTAAGTACTCGCACGTACTTCATGTTAGCAATGTATGATCGCGATTTGCTTGTTAGATGGTAATTTTCTACTGACTTCAAAAAGGAAGAGGTACTCAATTCGACTGTATGTTCTTTTTTATGTGTGTTTCCTCATAACTTTTTTCTGGGTGAACGAATTTCGATGATTCTTTTTTATTTGAATACTGGTGCTTCTCATGTGGTCTCATATTATTTCGATCAAGGTACGATAATTAATATTTAAGTCGGTAGTACTAAATTTTCAATTTTTAAGAATTAGCGAACAAAAACGTCTTTAGAATATGTTATACAATTGGATGAGAGACAAATTTAAATGTTATCAGGTAACATTTTACAAACTGCCGATATAACGACCTTATGCACTAAAACTTAACGTCTATATACTAATTAAATAATAGGACAAAAATACAAGTACCTAGCAATAAAGGAAAGAGCAAGACAAAGACATAAATAATTTCATTTTGTTTACACAGCTTAATATTATCTTGTTGCATATGGGACATACAATTTTTATTTATTTATTTATTTAACAGTTTATGTACACACATAATTTGATAAGAAAATGGTAAAAACATAATTATGTACAAAGGCACTGCTTATTCCATGATGAAATTTCTTCCAGCAGGCCTATTGAAGGATAGTTGAAGGAAATAGAGGTAGACAAAGTGTGCACTTGCATAAATATACATATACTATACAAATATATACAAACTTATATATATACGTATATACATATATAAATAAATATTATATATTATAAAAAATATATATAATTCAATATATATTTTAATGTTACTTATATGCATACCAACACATTACGATTTAGTAATTATGGAGTGAGTGATAGTGCTCTTTAACAAGTCTTTTAAACATAGACACCGAGAGATTTTAATGTCGTATTCCTTCAACAAGTTTACAGAAATTGTTCTCCGTTATTTGACTAAGTTTTTAATTAGACGTCGTGGCCAAAATGAAGGCTACTTCCAGCTTTATTATTGCACTAAAATTAGTGACCATCTCTTTAACGGATGCTACCTTTTCGTTTCATGCTAACTAGCCTAAACAAATAACATACCATATGACTCGTTTAAATTTAAAGTTTGTAGGGTTAGTCTAAATTAGTCGCTCCTAGTGATCTTGGCAAGCCGAATCTGGATGTAATTTACGTAAAGCAGTGTTCTCTCTTCCTGCACTCTACAGCTCAATATGAGCCGTAGGGAAAGAGAAGTGTAAGTAGCGATGTGCTACTCGCCGTGTCTAGTGAGGAGAAGCCTATTGTGATGCACCGCTTCTGATGATCTTCGTGTGAACTTTTTATTTAATATAGATTATAAATAATTCTTATAAAAACTCTTATGTTTAATTTACCTCTGATTCGGAAATACTTCTGTCCTGGGAGGAATCAGTTCAGCGAGACACAAAAGCTATTTTGGATAGTAATTTGTTTTTGTCGCGTTTAATTTTAACAATTTTTTTCCCCGATGCCGAAGTTTCGTATTATTCAATATGTAGTATTCACGTAAATAGGATAGAAAGTGATCGATTTACTGACCCGATGGCCATCTCGAAGGTTCCGTTGTCCAGGTGAAAAAAGACGCATGTAAAGGTGCGCCTTATGATTCAGCTTGCTAGGAGGAATAGAGAGTAGAGTTATCCTCACCCAACTGGTCGCCAGGGAACGGCAGGTGCTAGTAGGTCTATGAATATGTACAAGAGCGTTCCTGTGAAGTAAAGTGTAAAGATGTGAAGTTATCTGCTGCGTAATTTTTGGGAAAGCCATAGTTGTAGTCCGTTGAGCTATATCTGTCACTCTGCAGGAAATCTGCAAAATAATAATACCCTTATTTGGCGATTGCATGCTCGTTTGGAATGAGGAACGCCGAGCATAGATTTCTCTGGTTACCTGAAAGATTTTGTGCTACTAAATGACCATGTCTTGGTTTTCTTTAATCATTACTAGCAACGACAAGTTGTGACGAAATATCAATGGGACATTTTTTTACTGTATCCATGTTTGACCTTAACTTTTTTTATTATCGTAGTTGCAGGTATTTATGATTACACTATTACACATAAATTTTAAGGAACCCTTGAATACGTTATATCTTAAAAAATACTTATTATGTATGATGTATGATACTTTTGCAGAAAAAATCGTCACTTTTTTATTGACTAAACTATGAAATGATTGACAAGGATCATTTGCACCCAAATGCTCTTTATTTTACGATTTAAGCTGCAACTTGAGAAAACAAAGTGAGCAATAAGTCATGCCTCTTACAATATCTTTTCAAAAGATTTTAGTGGGCAAACAGGTCAACAAAGAGTATATACAGAACTTATTGCACCTATTTTTAAACAAACATAACAACCGGACTTACAGTTCACCCGCAGCCGACTTCAAACAGAGAAGGCTTTAGATGCGTTGTTTGTGCTTGGAACTTAGACAATATTTCACAGCCTGAAATTATACTAGGTCTCTTATACTCTGCAGACCGAAAAACAAGAGTTCAAGAACTGCCATTTGACAGCAGAAATATGTAAAATTATGGTACCTTCCTTGACGGACTCCTGGGCAGGCAACTAGTTCATGACCCAGACCTTAATTTAATAAATGATATACCCTAAAAATATTTCCGCAAAAAGTTGTCATTAACGGTATGAGTTCTTCCGGGTCGATGGTACAAATGGGCGTGCCTCAAGGCTCAATTCTCGGCCCCTTTCTGTTTCTTGTATACATTAATGACTTACCTTACATAGTAGGAGATAACCATGATATAGTATTATTTGCAGATGACACTTCTTTAATTTTCAAATTAAGTCGACAATTGCTAAAATATGATGAAGTAAATAATGCTATATTTAAATTAGTAAATTGGTTCAATGTTAATAATTTGCATTTAAATGGCACTAAAACGAAATGTATGAAATTTATGACTCCAAATGTCAAACAATTAAATACTAATGTAATTTTAAATGGTGAGAAACTGAGTCTTGTAGATACCACCATTTTTCTTGGAATCACACTAGACGCGAAGCTTCAATGGAGCCCCCATCCCATATATCAAAACTAGCAATCAGACTTAGTTCTGCAGCATATGCCGTAAAAAAGATTAGAAGTCTAACTAGTGTTGAAACAGCTAGACTAGTTTACTTTAGCTATTTCCATAGCATAATTTCGTATGGTATTTTGCTATGGGGACACGCAGCTGACACTGAAATTATATTTGTTTTACAGAAGAGGGCCATAAGAGCAATTTATGATTTAAAGCCTAAAGAGTCGCTGCGACAAAAATTTAAGGAAATTAATATATTAACTTTGGCCTCTCAATACATTTATGAAAATGTAATGTACGTACACAAAAATAAAAGAAGTTTTAAAAAAATAAGTGATATTCGTTCTGTAAATACTAGGAACAGACACAAGCTAGTAGTACCAGTTACTCGACTCCATCGAGTCAGTAATTCATTCTTGGGACGATGGACACGCTTTTACAACAAAATTCCAGAAAATATACAAAATTTGACCTGCTCAAAGTTAAAAAACTTTATTAAACTAAGTTTGTATAAAAAGGGTTATTTTAATATTAATGAATTTATAGATGATAGTAACCCCTGGAAATGAGGTGATCGCTACCAAGCTATTTCTAATTTATTTTTTAATTTGTGTAACATACATGATTGTAAGCTGTTATTTAAAAAAAAAGTCCCGCTGGGTTTCTTGCTGGTTCTTCCCAGGACAGAGGTTTTTTTTTCGAACCAGTGGTAATCATACAAAAGAGTGACTTTTAATAAGTATTATTTATAATCTATATTGAATAAAAAAGTTTCTGCTTCTGTTTCTGTTTCTATTGGCAATGTATAAATAAAACGCGTTTCATAATTAAAATGTATTAAAAATTCTTGGTACAAAATATACATAGGCAAGTTTTATATCACAATTTCTTACTAAGTACTAGCGAGCAATCTGAATGAACATTTGCATCCTCATATAATACAATTTAATTCCAAAAATATATACTTAAATGCTTGTGTACTTTCGACACTCCCTTAAAATTGCCTTGCATTTTATTCATCATAAGGTACACTTCGCAAAAACAATATTAGTGTCAGTACTCACTCCTTCGTGCAACTTTTAAAGCAGCCTTTCTTATTATCATAAAAGTATGCGCATATAAGCAGACTATCGAAGTTTAACCAAAAGATTTTGTGCAATGCCGCGCAATTAAACGCTTCATCGCAAGAAGACGCCAAATATATTATGTTTGAGTTCGGACGCAATGCGTCCTTTCCGATCACTCATCTGCGTGCAGTCTAACAGATGATGACGGCGACGCGGCTTCTCATACGAACAAAATGAATTTTAATTTGAAAAGAGTCTGCCTCTAAGTATTTGTGCGACCTGTTTTAATGTGAGCTGACCTCTATTTTATATCACACTTGATGCTCATTCAAATAAACGTAATAGATATTATATAGGATTAATTGGTATGGTAAACTTAGTATGCAAGGCACTACGTTTGACCTTGTCGATTGAGTTTGTAATAGAGTCCTTGCATCTGCATGAGTTGTGTGTGCGTGCCGCTCTCCGCGACGATGCCGTCGCGCAGCACGCAGATGCGGTCTGCGTCGCGCACCGTGCTCAGGCGGTGCGCGATCATCACGCACGTGCGCCCCGCCTTCGCAGCGTCCAGCGCCTCTTGCACCACCTGTGGAAATAACAATAATTATTTCACTTAAATTCTGCGGACACGTCCCTTGTTTTATTTTATAACAGTTCTCTTTATTTATTTTTTAATTAGACTGGCACTGCGATCATAAATCAAGTCAATTCGATGACATGCGTTACGATTAAACATGACGATCAAACTCTTCCTAAAATTAACCTTTAAAGGGCTGATGAAAAAGAAGTTTTTTTTTTAATCTACTTCCACAATACGGCAGAAATTATACAATAAGGAGGTTATACGTATTATACAGTATTAGCACATGGACCAACACCCAGACCCAAAAACAATTTTTGGAAGCCATATAAATATTTGTTTCGTGTGGGAATCGAACCTGCAGCCCAAATCGCTGCAACAAAATGGTTTTGATATTAGCGGATTTGGTAGATCCTATTATGGGAGGAGCCCATACTCATTGTTCTACATACGGGCCGATGATAATTTACGTTAATCCCAAAAATACCTTCAACGTGGTACGCAATCCATGTTTGTAGCTTTAATACCAAAAAGTTTACAAATACGCAAGAAACACTTGCTTGTTTATCTTTATCTTCATCTATCCATAATATCGGTTATGCACTTAGATCAGCAGGTATATAGTTTTATTTTTTATAGAATAAGGGTGACAAACGAGCACACAGTACACCTGATGGTAAGTGGTTGCTGCGGCCCATAGACATCTACATCTATCCTCTATTACAAATCAAAATGTAGATGCGTTGTCACCCGTGCGGACTAAGATGGAATGCCTCATTTCCAGTAAAAAGGGCCTCCGGCCACCTGCACTAACCAAGCGAAACGCAGAGGTAAATCTCTACTTCACGCTGGTTTCCTGTGAGGTCGTGGTATCACCCCGGTTCGAGCCGGCCCATCCGTGCGACAGCAAAAGCTGCCGCGTGGCTCTACCACTGTTAAAAACTGTAAACTGTACTTATTAAAATGTAAATAATATATTAAATGTTAATGAAGGTTAAAAAATTTAAATGAAAAAAATACCTGTCAATCGTAGGACTGCACGTCAGAAGTGAATACTACTTAGCTTCACAAGCTTTCAAACAGTATTTTTGGATTGTTAAGAAAAATTATTTTTCGGAAGTATTTTTTATTAGAAATTATTTTTAGAATGTTATAAGCGTAGTACAATTTACTTACAGTAGGTAACGCGCGTATTGTACCGACAAATTTATTTTAAGTCATATAATTATCATTCAACTTCAATAAAAGTATTATCATGCCCAATTTAAACAATATAACCCTTCCAAATTTAAAACGACATTTCTAAAATTATTTCTTCTTCATACGTGGTACAGCCGTGCTGCAGCTATTTTAGTAGTATAGTTGTAGCATGAATGAGTCGGCTCGACCGGGGAAGGACCACGCTCTCACAGAATACCGGCGTAAAATAGCTGCTTAACGCTGCTGTGTTTCGTTTTTTTTTTTATAAGATAGTGTGACAAACGAGCATACAGTCCACCTGATGGTAAGTGCACTTACCATCAGGTGGACTGAAATGGAATGCCTCTTTTCCAGTAAAAAGGGTCTCCGGTCCCCTACACTCGCCATACGAAACACAGCAGTGTAAAGTTGCTATTTCACGTTGGTATTCTGTGGGAGCGTGGTCCTTCCCCGGTCGAGCCGACCCATTCATACTACAACTATACTACTAATATAGTTGCAGCATGGCTCTACCACGTCAATTACCACGTTATTTTCAAACACACACTTTTCTATAGATTTGTTATACGTATAGCTAAATCCTCTTTAGGACTATTAGAACCATCAGCAGCCATAATAACAATAAACTAAAAAAGAAGGAAAATCATAACCCTTCCTTTTACTCTTCTGTAAGCGGATAAACAGTTGCCTATATGTTATACACGGTCATTTACTGTCTACATACAAAATTTCATGGAAATCAGTCCAGTAGTTTTTGCGTGAATCGTGAACACACATATGTATAGATAGATTAGGATTAGGTATAGGTAGATATTCCATTCTTGCCACACATGGCAACAGCAGTTTTTTATTATTTTAAGTTGTTATCAGAAAGATGCTGCTACCCGTCGCCTGTTAAAAATTCCCTCTGTCTGATATGGGGTAGTTGATATTCTTACACCGCCACTACACGGTTAAATATATAGTTAAGTGAAACTTTCTAGCTTAGTCCCAGTTAATAATAAATTGCGAAACCTGTCTATGTACCAACTAAAATCCAATGTTTTATTATAGTTGCGTAAATTGACATACAACAAAAAATTATTAAAAATCAATTATTAAAAGGTTATTACTTCTAAAAAAAAACAAGAAATCCGTTTTCCGATCACCCTAAACCTAAAGATATCTAACATTTACGGGAATCTTGTACAAATATATTTTTTATTTAACTTTTTTTTAATATTATATATTTGCGTGCTTACCTTTTCACTCTCGGTGTCTAGTGCACTGGTGGCCTCATCAAGTAAAAGCATTTTGGGCCGTCGTATTAGAGCACGTGCAATAGCTATGCGCTGCTTCTGCCCACCTGATAGTTGTGTTCCCTTTGACCCGATGTTTGTGTCATAACCCTGAAATATACAATTCATATTACAAGTGGTAAAATTAAAAATTTTGTACAACCGACTTCAATATAAATAATTTATTGTTGATTGACAGATTTCGATAAAATTTAAACGGGACCACCTAGGATATATATCCTTTGAAACGAAAAAATAATTTTCGAAATCAGTTCAGGCGTCTTCGAGTAATCGGTAAACATACATAAAAAAACAGATTTCGACGAATTGAGAACCTCCTCCTTTTTTGAAGTCGGTTGAAAATATTCTAAATGAAACAACAGGTGATTATTAAAACTAAACTTTTTCTTACCATAGGCAGAGAGACGATAAAGTTATGAATGTTAGCCTGTTTAGCCGCCGATATTATTTCGTCCATATTTGGTTTCCGTGAGTTATCACCGTAGGCAATATTTTCACCAATAGTTCTATCAAACAGTATAGGTTCTTGCTGTACGAAGCCAATTGATTGTCTAGCGTCTTTAAGACGTAGTTTTGGTAATGGTATGCCATCAAATGCCTGAAATTATATAATTTAACTTTCGTTATCGTTTTGTTATATTTTTATTGCGTATATTGTGGTGTTAACGTGTAAACTGTACATTCACTTACCACTATGCCTTCATTGGGATCGTAATATCTTTGAAGGAGTTGGATAACAGTGCTTTTCCCGCAACCACTAGCTCCCACCAAAGCAAACGTTTTGCCCCGTTCTATTTCAAGATTGAATTTTTTCAGCACTTGTATAAGCGGCCGGGTCGGATACCTAAATTCTACATTTTGGAGACTAGCCTCGCCTGTACCTACCTAAAATAAATGGATTGGAAAGTTTATTATGTCTGTGTTATAAAAAATCGAGTTGTTCGAAAATTCTTCGACACTTTTTTGTTTCTTTTGTAGTTCAAAAATTTGATATTTTATAGATAAAATTTGATAGCTTTGAAATATTACATACTTTTAAAACTTTCTCAAAACATCTTTTAATAAAAGTATATAAAAAAGCTTGCGTTATTTGGTAAAGAGTGATGGCGTCGATTGACAAACCTTAACTTCGTGGTCTAATTTATTACGAGCACTGCAAAAGCAGCAGCTAAATAAATTTCGATGTGTTTAAAGAAACGTTCGTTAACTATTTCATAGTAAATAGTTGGTTAGAAAACTTTCGTTCGGGAGATACGAGTCTCAGAAATCAACCCTTACCTACTGTTGACCAACAATAGCAGACACCTGTGTTGCTTAGAGGAAAAACTGAACGCTTCTAATCGCGAAATAGTGGAAGCAATCGGCTTCAGTCGTCGAGTATTCGTGTTGCCATATTTATAGCAGCAAGCAGCAGTGAACTCGATGCTATGTTTCGGTTTGTGGAGTAAAAGACTCAAAACCTGCGAGGCATTTCGTCTTAAGCCTCATGGGTGACAACTCTTTTGTGGCCTTCATAGTTTGAAGTAGGTTACAGGTGTTCATCTGCTGTTGTAGTTACCATCCTTCCAGTGGATTGTTATTTGTCACTATATTATTCGACGGCTTAATAGCGAAGTGAGTGAGTCTACCACGGGGAGTGCTCAGAGGAATTGTTTGGACTAATTCCAGCTGCTCAATTTCACCATCGCACGTCGCGACAAACTCGAGATACCATCCACACCATCTGGATGATTGACGTTTCACTACGGTTTTTTTAAGAAGTTTTGTTCCTTGCACAAATTCCTTGTGGAATCGACTACCACCAGCGAATTTTCCGGACCAATACGACTTAGGGACCTTCAAGAAAAGAGACTTACTCTTTTTGAAGAGACCGGCAACGCACCTGCAACTCTCCTGGTGTTGCAGTTGTCCATGGGCAGTAGTAGTCACTTATCATCAGGTGAGCCTCATACTCGTTTACCCCATCTCATATAAAAAAAGCGTTTAGCTACGGCTCTGTGGGGCCACAAGTTCAAATCCCGCATGGAATAAGTGTTTGTATGGCCTACAAATAATTGTTCCGGGTTGTTAATGTTCTATATGTACACTAAACTAAAGATATCAAAAGAGAAAATATGTAACACAAAAATGTACGAAGTGTCGAAGAATTTTTCGTAATAACCAATATACGTTACTTACAAAGTTTTCAATAGCAGGCTTATCAGGATCTGTTATAGTAGATGATTTGCTCAGGAGAACAATAATCCGTCCTGCAGCCTTAATTCCCTTCTGGAAATTAGGTGCAAAAGCAAAAGCCTGGGCTGCTGAAGAAGTTCCCATTAGTAACGCTTGTGCCGATCTGGAAAAAAGTTTGTTACGAGTGTATTTTATAATTTCTTTGGCGATTTTTATACATACTCGCATGCTATCTGTTTTATTAAATTTTTACTCACTTTAAAACAACTGCATAATTAATATTGTCATACACCATTAGCGTTCCTCCATAATACATTGCGGCAGCGTACACAAAGTTAAAGAGACCTCTTGATAGGCCGAAAACAATTCCACGCCAGTGTGTTGTTCGCTTTGCAATACGTAATGCTGGTGTTAGTTGTCGTGCGTATTCGTTAACAAAGGTTTCTTCTCTTCCTAACGATGCAACAGTACGTACGTTTGCTACCGCCTCTACAGCTATCTAAAATTACATTCCCATATTTTAGGATATAAATTACTGCAAAAACATTTAGCCGGTTTTAATTCAAAATAATGTTATTACCTTAGAACTATTTTGCATAGTCTGCGCTGTACCGAAGGATTCCGCGCTAACCATGCGACCTTGTTTATACAAAATTGCAGTGATTACTGGTACAAAAGTTAATGCAACTAAACCCACCCTCCATTCGTAGATCAATGAAAGTGTTAGAGCAAAACTAAAAGTTCCCATTGCTTGTAATACAGTGCCAATTCTTTGTCCCGTTGCCTAAAATTTAAAACATTTTATTCATTTAGTTTTGTTTTCATGTGTTTTCTAAAATCAATGAGACTAATCATATCAGATAAATTCACCCCTTGCACAGTAGCAGCTTCTCCGGACAAACGAGCGCAAAGAGCACCTGTTGAGTTGTTCTTGTCATCAAAGAATGCAATTTCTTGTTTCAGAAATGTATCAAACATTAGCAGCCTTAGTCGAGCTGTAAGATGTTCTCCAGCTATAGCGTACATAAAGACCTAAAATGAAAAGGTAACTATTTATCCTCGGTTTGTTATTTTGCTAAATAATGAAAAGAAATTCATAATATCTTACTGTTATAAAGTTCGATATTCCAGTAAATGCACCTATACCAACGAAAATAAGCGCAAATCTTCTTACTTCAGCAAGTACTTCATCAGAGTTGGGATTAGAAAGAACCTGTAATAAACAGCATTATTAATTATCGATTACAAATAATATTTAATAGACTAATAGACTTGATCTTGGTATCTATACTAAAATAAAATTCTAACACGACGTCCGTCTGAACACGCATCACGTAAAATCCTGTGAACCTATTTGGATGGAACTTTCACTGGAAGATAGCTGATGTTATAGTCTGAGAGCTGGCGACGAATTTTGAGTGGGAACAAAAACATCTATGTTTTTTGAATTATATGAAAACTAAATAAAAAAATAAAAAATAAATGAAGTTGTCAAAAACATTTTTTTGGAATTTTTTTACAAATTTTATATGCTGCGCAGTGACAAAATAACCGCAAATGCTCTGCCAGACTCATGAGATTGGATTCGCCAAAGTTTATCACAGTTTAATATTGTGATCAAAAAAGGAAGGGAATCAATCATAAGTTAATTACATCTAATTAATTTTTGTTTATTTACTTATTTACACTTTATTGTACACCTTAAAATAAAAGGATTACAAAGGGCGGGCCATTTCTCTCCCAGTCAAACCGGGACGTGTGGAAAATAATGTGATAGGTGCCAAATATAAAATGAACATATTTATAAATTAAAAATAGACTAGTAATTAAAGCAGGAAGCGAAAATATGGAATAAATGAATGTGCTAGATCTAATAACTTTATACTATGTTTGTTGATGCCTATCAGGCGTATTAACTGTTATGATTTTATCAGCAGCATATCATCATCCTTAGTATTTCACTGCAGGAATGAACCTCTTGAAAACTTAAGAAATTACCGAAAGCGATTAAGAAAATGTACATACAGCACATATACCGGCCTATTGCCATCTGCCAAATGTTGAGCTGCCCTTTTCGGTAGGTGGCGCGATGAGTTTCACTTTTAATTAATAGAATAGAATAGAATGATTTTTATTCAATATTGATTACTACATAATACTTATTGTAAGTCATTTTTTATTTACCACTGGTTTGGAAAATACCTATGTCCTGGGAAGAACCAGCAAGAAACCCAGCGGGACTTTTTTTTAAACATAATTTCACTTAACAATAATTTTGTTTATACAATTTTAAATGAATTTTAATAGAACCAGCATGGTGGCGATCACCTTATTCCCAGGGCTTATTTTCATTCATGTATTCCTTGATATTATAATAACCCTTTTTGTACAGGTTTTCCTTAATAAAACTTTAACTTGTTTATCGACAAATTTTGAATTACTAATTCTGTGGAGTCTTGTAACTGGCATTACAAGCTTATGTTTGTTCCTATTGTTTAAGATATGAACTTCCTTATTCTTATTAAAGCTATTTATGTTTTTATGTATATACATTACATTTTCATAAATATATTGCGATGCCAAAGTTAATATGTTTATTTCTTTAAATTTTTCTCTGAGGTATTCTTTACAATTTAGGTTACAAATCGCCCGTACGGCTCTCTTTTGCAAAACAAATATAGGTTCAATATCAGTCGTATTACCCCATAGCGAAATTCCATAAGACATTATGCTATGAAAGTAACTAAAATACACTAATCTAGCTGTCTCAACATCTGTGAGACTTGTAATCTTTCTTACATCATATGCTGCAGAACTAAGTCTGCTTGCTAATTTAGATATATGGGGGCCCTATTGAAGTTTCGCGTAAATAGTAATACCAAGGAAAACACAACCCTATAGGAAAGCACATTGGTTTTCGAATGTTTTACATTAGGTATTGTAATAATACGTTTTGTCTTATTGCCGTTTAAGAGCAAATTGTTGGCGTTAAACTAATTTCGATAGAGCATTATGCATCATAATTAATTGACTGCCGTTTGAGTTTGAAAATTAAAGAGGTATCGTCAGCAAATAATACTATATTGTGATTCTTTCCAGAATATAAGTCATTTTGGTTTAGAAGTATAGAATTGTAGCCCCCTTGGTTTATTTTAATTGAAGTTGAAATACTTACACCTACGAAATCACCCAATATAATTGCCAAAAAAGGCATTCCAAAACCGCTTAACACGGAGGCTATACTGGCCGCTGTTACTGACTTCCATTCAGGTCTATTTAAACGTATTATTTGCCAGAAAGATATTTGGGCTTCATTCTTGATATCTTCTTTTTCCTGTAATAAATAATATTAAAATTATCAATTGCATATCTAGGAAACAGGTGTCAGGAATCAGCAAATAAAAAGATTCTTTCACTCTTCGTATGTACTGTAGTATGCCTTGCACTTGCCCCAATCGAACCATATCCAATATAACATGTAAATGATAATTTTTGATATTTCCTAGAGCTAATGTGTCAGAAAGCAAATAAAAATAAAATACACTTATAGACAGTTATGTACAGTTAAGGAATGTGAATTTTAGTTTACAAGCATCTCACTCAGGCCGCGCGCGTTGAACTCACTTTTATCGTAACTAAGGTTCAGTTCATTAAAGTCAAGTGAACGACCAGCTACTAACATAACTTTCTGTACGTAGTTTTAACTTTGTTATAAAACGCGATATAAGGAATGAATAATACAAATCAACAGGTTATGATAAAACATATACAAAGATAAAAGAAATGTGGCATATATTTGGCTCATATAATTAACTTATCGCTGATTGAGGGCCATTTGAGGACTAAAGTGACTAAAGAGAAGGAAAACTGCTTCAAAAATATCTAAAATGAATTAATGAAATGAGTAACTATAAACATGTTACGTCATATTTTTAAGAATATGTATATATATATATATATATATATATATATATATATATATATATATATATATATATAGATATATATATTTCATATTGACAAAATAATTGTAAGATAATAAATTGAGAGTACTGTGTTTACCAGTAAAGACAAAATCACATTATCCAATCCTTAAACATGTAATTTATTGGACGATAAAATAGATGTATTTTTCTAATTGTGACAAAAATAAACTTAAGTAGGAGTTAGTGATGAAAACTTCTCTATTTTATAGAGTAAGACTACTAAGAATTTTCTTCCCGAGTGGTCTTACCAGTTAGGTCTACTTGGTAAGACCACTGAGACGCAATAAGTCTCCAGTAACTCACTACTCGTACTAACTCACTCAACTCACTAACTTTTCAGTCCTCAAAATATTTTCCCCATACATGTAGATCATGATGTTTTTTTTCATCGCCGATTATGTGGTAAATCAGCACTGAAAGTTACAATTTACATTCGTTTCGCATCGTTGGTGCCGGCAAGGGTCGAACCCGGATTGTAAGCGTACTGTGATATTGCAGTAAGTACTTAGGTCCTGAGCTACCACGGTTTTATTTTTTAAATAAAGTGTATGTACATTCAAAAAATGTATACTACCAAATGATTGCGAGTAGTAAAATGAAGAAGTTAATAGCATATAAATTAATTTTTTTGTTCTAATAGCTTACTTCTACGCCCGTCTTGAGTTCCTCATCTTCTTCCTCTTCGACGATCTCCGACTCTTTTCTTACTAGCGCATGAGATGAATCTGTAGCAATGTGACATAGAATAAAAAGTAAAAAATGCGTAAAATTGTAATTAATAATAATTTCATGGGTGTCAATGGGGATCAAACCAGTGTTGCTCGTATGCAGTGAAATTTACGGTGAGCGTTTAGCCACTGAGCTACCACGGTTGTTGAGGGTAGTACTTAAATATAAAAATAGTAATGAATAATTGATTACAAGGTATATAGGACACTATAATTTTGAATCAAAATTTATTTTAACTACGGGCTTACTCATAAAACGCCAATCTAAAATATGTTTGAAGTTGGTATCTCTCTTTTTACTAAATTCCAATAGAAAGGGACAGGTATAGAGATAATTAATACTTCAAGTTAGCGATAATCAACGATTATAAGTAGCCTTATGTCCAAGTACTCAAATGCCGTTAAGTCTTGTCCAATATTTATGTTAATTCTATTTATCTTATCCTCTCCACAAAAGCCTGAAATACTACTGATCGACAAAAGCCTCTATGATTATAGCTAAGTATTATGTAGTATTATTGTAGCACCTAGTATAGGTAGCGCCTAATGTTGCACTTGCGATGTCAATGACGTACACAGAGGACGTTGTGCCAGAAGGTTACACTTCTTACATTTTATGTAACTTTTTCTCATAAATCGTCAAACGCCTGTTATTTTTATTATTGTTTATAAATAAAGGAGTGTTATTTAATAATTTATGTACCTATTAGTTTAAAAATTTACTTTTCAGACATGCCAACATAACTTTCTACCAAGCCACGCTGGCAACACTAGGGCCTTGCTGTTGCTGATAGTCGAAATAACTCTCCACCGCAACTAACAATGAACCGATAATGAAAGTATTGGCCGTTTTTTTCTCTGCTCCCTTAAGATATCCAAGGAAGTACACACATTAACATGAAAATTGTATGAAAGCTTACCCGTGGTATCGCCTTCTGGTGATGTTTGTATCGACACCATATCATAGTAATGGCCTTTCATTTTCATGAGTTCTTCGTGATTTCCGTACTCGATGATTGTTCCATTTTTAAAAACGTATATGAGATCTACGTTCCTGATAGTGGATAGTCTATGAGCAACCACTATAGTTGTTCGACCTTCTTGAGCCTAAGAAAAAAAAATACATTAACTCAAAATAATGACTACAGTTTTGACAGCTCAGCCATCTGCGCAGCGCAGGATTATATACACAAGTGTGTGCGCTAATACGAGACCCTCACTGACATAGCATTGCCCTATTGGTCAGCAACCAAACACGACCGGTGTGAAACAGAAACAGAAACAGAAACTTTTTTTATTCAATATAGATTATAAATAATACTTATTGAAAGGTCACTCTTTTGTTTGATTACCGCTGGTTCGGAAAAAACCTCTGTCCTGGGAAGAACCAGCAAGAAACCCAGCGGGACTTTTTTTTTAAATAACAGCTTACAATCATGATGTTACACAAATTAACAACACAACAAATTAGAAATAGCTTGGTAGCGATCACCTCATTTCCAGGGGTTATTATCATCCATAAATTCCTTAATATTATAATAACCCTTTTTATACAAACTTAGTTTAATAAAGTTTTTGAATTTTGAACAGGTCAAACTTTGTATATTTTCTGGAATTTTGTTGTAAAAGCGTATACATCGCCCCAAGAATGAATTACTGACTCGATGGAGTCGAGTAACTGGTACTTTATTTTATATCTTATTTATATTTATTTTATATTTCATAATCTAATTTTTATATTAATTGTTAAAATAATTTTAATTTAATATTGATTGTAAATTATATTTTTATTGTAATTTTATATAATTGTAAATTTTATTGTTAAACATTTTAATTGTATTTTTGCATAAATTATTCAACACAATTTGTATTGTTCAGAATTAAATAAATAAAAAATATACTACTAGCTTGTGTCTGTTCCTAGTATTTACAGAATGAATATCACTTATTTTTGTAAAACTACTTTTATTTTTGTGTACGTACATTACATTTTCATAAATGTATTGAGAGGCCAAAGTTAATATATTAATTTCCTTAAATTTTTGTCGCAGCGACTCTTTAGGCTTTAAATCATAAATTGCTCTTATGGCCCTCATCTGCAATACAAATATAATTTCAGTGTCAGCTGCGTGTCCCCATAGCAAAATACCATACGACATTATGCTATGGAAGTAGCTGAAGTAAACTAGTCTAGCTGTTTCAACACTGGTTAGACTTCTAATCTTTTTTACAGCATATGCTGCCGAACTAAACTGTGAAATCAAGCGTAGTACCAATACTGAGGCATGGGGAGAAACACTCCCGATTCGCTGCTCCAGGCTGGTGATATGACTATGAATTTCTCTACTGAAAACCCAGTTAACGATTTCAGCCCCACCTGGGATTTGAACCGAGGACCACATGATGAACAGTTGCGCTTACGACTACTAGACCAAAGAGGCAGTCATAACCTAAAGTAACCGAGACAACAACCTTTATAACATCATTAGAAAGAAAGAAAGAAAGAAAATTATTTATTACATCAAACATCAACACACATATTACAAAAGATATTATGCACTAAAAAACTTATAACTCCAGACCAAAAGAAATTTAAAACCTAAATAAAATCAATACAATAAAAATGTTATTATGTGTGCGGGAAGGGCTACACTCAGCATTATTTCGTGGTATTATCCACGAAGCTGGTTTTCAGTGCGCCCTATAGTGAGTAACGTACGGTCGAATATGCAACAACCAGTACCACTATTACGACGCTACACTTGTTGCACCTACCATTACAACCTTTCACAAGGCCTCCCCCAAGTTATGCCACAAAGCACAGTCCTGAACCACGTGCATCCATCGACTGCATGCATGTCTTACCAGGTCGTCACTCCATCTAGTGGGGGGTCGCCCTACACTTCACTTACCGGTACGAGGCTGTCACTCGAGAACCTTTTTCCCCATCGGTTGTCAGTTGTTCGAGCTATTTGGTTGAAGTTGGCCGACCAATTGCCACTTCAGCTTACTAATCCGTTGGACTATGTTGGTCACTCTGCAGATATTCTCATTCCTAAGTTTATCACGCAAAGAAAGCCCAAGCATAGCCCTTTCCATAGCCCGCTGAGCAACCTTGAACGTCCCCATACGGCCAGCAGTGAATGACCACGTCTCAGATCCATAAGTCATCACTGGCAACACGCACTGCTTGTACAATTTGGTTTTCAGGTTTTGAAGTATACCTGACGAGAAGATGTGTCGTAATTTTCCGAACGCTGCCCAGCCGAGTTGAATCCGTCGATTGACCTCTCGGTCGAAGTTGACTGACCTCCAGGTGATAGAACAATTTGCCGGATTCGAGGATTACCGTGTCCTCCCCTCTCTTCGGACCTTAGATAATCCTATAATATCCCAGCGCAACTTGTCTATCTCTTCTTCTAGCTCCAGGATTTTTCCGTCAGTCCTCAGGGTGCGTGTGTTGTATGTTGCCAGATCGAGTCATCTTAGGTGGCAACCGAACATCCACCGGAGATTCTTAGCACCCCCTGCCCCGCCGTTACCATGGTCGCCACCGTAGCCAGAAATAGCGGGGCCGCCGGGGACTGGGGGCCGTCTCTTTATAACTTTCATCATGGGCGAAGTTTGCCATAGTTGCCACGCTTGGCGAGTGGGTTGGCAACCACAGTTTTTTTATTGTAGTATTGTTATTGCACATCTCCTACCTGTTTCCCACTGTCGCGTCTTACAACACCCACGGGAAGATATGGGGTAGTGGATATTCTTAACCGCCATTACACGGCATGGAACATGGAAAGACGACATGGAAACATTTTTTTTAATACAGTTGCTCAAAAAGGGGCGTATTGCAGGGACGTTTAGCGTTCGAGATGTGGGTATTTTCCGAACTCGTGCGTTCTCGTTCCCAACTGTCAAAATAATGTCTATTAAAAAGAAAAAAACCAACCACGAAGTTTTTACTAAAAAAAATTCATAGAAGTTTTTATGATTCATGCAAATATTTCTAAAAATAAGCTACTAATTTGTTTCAATATCAGATTTAATGATTTGATTCAATGAGTTAGGTTAGGTTTCATTTTATTTCATCTCATTAAATTTCATTTTCATTTCATATCAATAAAAAAATTCGACTGAAGACTTGGCTGTATGGGCATAGTTCCCTTTGCCTACCCAGAATGGGTGAAGAAAACAAAAAAAACTCTTCTTATTATATTCTTTTACGGTGGGCGCCATTTTCCAAAAATGTTCTGTGCGAGTTTAGTTGTTTGTTGCACAAAATGAGTATGTAATTTCGACGATATTTTATTTGAATTAACACCACCGGATTTCAGTATAATTGCACAAAATGCTTCGGAGAACATTTTAGCGGAAAAGAAGTCGCTACATATCTACATACTACGAATTTATTGCGTGGAGAGAAGAGAAAAAAGCAAATAGTTTTTCAGAAAATGTTATGTTGGCATACTTCTCGGATAAACTTTCCAATATGGACCATCGATTTAAATGCCCATTTTTTTTGTAGATAGTACTCACTAAAAGAAAGCGTTTTGCAAAGTTTCAATATGCGGAAACGCGTACTTTCTGAGAAAAAAATTATTGAAATTATTGATTATTGAATATTTTGCAATATTTATGCCAATTCCTATGGTAAAACTGACACTATTTTGTATTGTCATTGTCATCGTCGGTAGGGATGTCGATTCTTTCCGAAAAATATCGATTTTTAAATCGATTCGAATCGTAAGCTGATGTATCGATTCACAAAAACATATATTTCTAAAATATCGATATTTTTTCATGTTTACATTTATAATGTAAATATAAATCCATTTTATGAGAAAAAAATCCCCTTCATCAGACGTAAAATAGGGGGACTGATTAAAAGGGGGTTTCTGTATCTATTTTGAGACTGCAACGTCTCCGGCGCTGCGGGAAGAGCAGCCTCTACGCCTTTGCGCTTTCTTTTAGTGAGTACTATCTACAAAAAAATATGGGCATTTAAATCGATGGTCCATATTGGAAATTTTAACCAAAATAAGGAACATCAAAGATGTAAGTGAATACCCAAAACTAAATGCTTTCTTAAAACGACAATCAGACGGTTTTACAACTAAAAAGTCGAAAATATTAACATCGAATGAAGTGGAAAGGTTTTTAGGATGCGCTGATTTTTGGCGTTGTTGGAGCTTACCGCAGAGAGGAGTTAGCCAATATTACTTTAAAAGATATTGAAGCCCATGGAAAAATGGTACTAATCAAGATTCCGAATACAAAAAATAAGTGTTGAAGGAGATTTTCTTAGAATAGTGCAAAAATATATGAATCAGTGGTCCCAAAAAGCAAAAACCGACCGTTTTTTTTTTTCAAAATTATCAAAAAGGGAAGTGTACAGCTCAAGCAATCGGGATAAACAAATTTGGTAATATGCCAATAGAAATAGCTACGTTTCTTGGTCTGCCGGATGCTGAGTATTATACTGGGCACAGCTTCAGGAGGACCTGTGCTACATTATTGGCAGATTCAAGAGCCAATTTGACGTCCTTAAAGCGACTAGGAGGTTGGAAGTCAGACAAAGTTGCAGAAGGCTATATTGCTGATTCATTAAACAACAAACTAGAAAGTGGAAAAAAAAATCACACAATCCATTAATTTAAAGTCCAGTTCGTCTCCTTCACATGACAATACTGAAGAGAACGTTCGTCCATCTACGTTCGTTGATAATGATAATTCATTAGATCCAATTCCATCAACTAGCAAACGCCATTGTATAACACCTTTGACAAATATACATAAACAATCATACGAAATTAATAATAGTTTGTCTCAAACAGTAAATATGCAACCTAAAACTTCCCCAGTTAGTATAAAAAACTGTACCAATTTCAATGTATATGTGAATTATAACTTTTATAAGAAATAAATGATTAGTTAGTTGAGTTTATTGTGTTTTTATTATTTTATTAAATTGCTTCATTTTTTCGCAACTGTATTAAAAATAGTTGTTCAGTACACGTGCGAAACCGTCATTGCAACTTGTTCCGACTGTCAACCCTCACCTTCGGCTGCGCCTCGGCTCGGGTAGACATTTGTCGGAACTCTTTGCAATGACAGGCTTTCTGCACTCGTAATGAAATATACTAATTAAAAATTGTGTTTGCTTACTCTATCAAGCGCTGCTTGTACTTTATATTCTGAAGCCGTGTCAAGAGCGCTGGTTGCCTCATCGAGTAACAGAATATGAGGATTACGGATAAGTGCACGGGCGATAGCGATTCGTTGCTTCTGTCCTCCAGAAAGTGAAGCTCCTCGTTCACCCACCAACGTGTCGTATCCCTGCAATATAAAAATTAAAAATCATTAATCTTTGACCGAATACAACTAAAAGCAGCTCGAATCATCGATGACCAAGTTCTTTCTGGTCCACTGGATCCAATACACTTGCAAATACTTTCATCTCTTTGCATTTTTTATCGTATTTACCACTGAGAATGATTGGAGTAAATGTAGAGGATTAATTGCATTCGCCAAATTTCACCATCGTACTCTGCTCTATAATTCCATTAATATCATTTTGAGGTTTAGCGATTTACCATTTATTTATTTATTTTTATACTTTTTTATAAAAGCATTAGCAACGAAAATGTAGCTCACGTGCAACACGAGTGGAATTGCAGGTGCCTGCCCATACCAACGAGCGTTTTTCTGGAGAAAAGAGTCTATTCATTTCTAATGGTATTATGGATGGTTCATGGACGGCGGTATTTTACGATTTAATTCCAAACAACTTACCGCAGGTAGCTTCATAATGAAGCGGTGAGCGTTAGCTTGTTTCGCGACAGCTTCAATTTCAGCATCAGTGGCATCAGCGCGCCCATATCGTATGTTTTCACGTACAGTCGTGTTGAAAAGGACGGGCTCTTGACCTACTAGACCAATTTGCGCTCGCAACCATCGCACTGATAGATCCCGAACGTCTTTGTCATCAATATACACCTGTTAATTGAACCAAGGGTTTAAATTTATATACAAACAATGTGCTTATTAGCTTAGACTGAAACCACGATATTTACAAATAAATTTGTATTTAATGTAAGCGTTGAACAAAAATATAATCGAAAAAGAGGATGCATCACAACTCGATATCCTGGATTTCTTTAAAGCTAATTGTTATGTAAGGAAACATAACGCATGGTTATAAAATTCAGTCAGTCAGTCAGCACACATCGAAACGCGAAATTTTTAATTTTGACTTTTACTTAGATTTAAAGTCAAAAACTAAGCTTGCTGACACACCCGTCAAAAAAGACACTTGCTCGTCGAGCTCATTCAACACTTTATTTTCAGATCAGCCAAAGCACCTAAATGGAAGCCAGTTCTACAGGTCAAGCCTTCGCCTTTGCGCCCTGTTACCAAAAAGACATAAATGCAATCACAGTCAAGAGAATAATAATGTTAATTAGTAGTCTTAAATTGTAGAAAGATAGCAGTTGAGAATTTCGTAAGTTTTGAAAATACAATGTGCAATGTTAATTTTTTTATAAAAAAATGTTGTTCAATATTATGAGTAGCGTGGTTTCTAATTGCTCCAAAAATCTGATAAAGGAGAGGGCAGCACTCCAGTACTATGTGACGTATATGGGCTCTACATTTATTTTACTACTTTACTTTAATACTCATGGTGTTTTTGTAAGGATATAAAATAAGTACCTAAAATAAATTATAAGTATTGCTTTGGTAGCGCCGTGGAAGCCCAAAAAATAAACGCTTGCCTTAATATTTCTAAATGTCTAGTAAACCAAGTTCGATCCCAATCGGCACAATGCCATTGTTAGTAGCAATTTTAAATTTTTTATTTACCACGTGTTCGACAGTGAACGAAAACATTCTAAGGAAATCATCATGTCTGAAAAAAAAAACAGATGCAGACATAAGGACTGCCGACAGAAGTGAAAACTCAATCATATATGCGTATACATGTACACAGGGCGCCATACTACATTGCTCTTGCGGGCAATACGTTACGAGCATGTCGAGGTCACGTGAACACACAAGTTTTTCCCTTACCAAAAATCACTCAAGGTGGCTAATAAAGTTTTCACTTCAAAAATCGAAGACGAGTGTAGTTCACCACGCAACAAATCCGATAGAGAATCGATTGCATTTTAAGTTATGTCAGCTGTGGTAACTCAGGTGCTTAGCACTCACTGTAAATTTCACATTATGTTAAAAATCCGAGGTCGATGCCCGCAAGTGAAATTATTGCAATTTTAAGTGCTAATTTACCACGTGCGTAGCTTTAAAGAAAGACATCGATAAGAACCTGCATGTCTGAGATATTAAAATAAAGTTCGAAGACCACCTACACAGATTGGAGCAGCGCGTCGGACGATTCCTTATTCTTAAATACTCTCAGAAATAGAGAACGCCTGTGTGACGACAGCTGTGGGACGAAAATAGGCTAATGTATAGTAAAGTTTACTATACATTAACTGTGGAAAAACAACTCTAAATACTTACACCGCCATCAACGGCGTCATAGTATCGGGATATAAGTTGTATGATCGTAGACTTGCCGCAACCGGAGTGACCTACGAGAGCCACTGACTGGCCGCGTTTCACACTTATGTTCACACCTTTCAAAACCTGACAACAGTCAAGATAATTATTTTTAAACACAACATGAATGGCGATAAAGAAACATAAACACATAATGGAGCACATATATTTCTAATTTGTCATTTATAATGTCACAGTCCAAGAGTTGACCGCTACTAGAACAGTTGATGAAATTCTGTCACATCACGAGGATCAAACAAATGCTGATGACGAAGATTTTCACAGGTGTGAAACCTCGCTAACTTCCTGAATTTGGGCTGCTATTGAGAATTTCTTGGCAGAAAAGTCTAGATCAACGAGGCAGTCAAAGTTTTGTACCTGTGGTGACCACGCTCTGGGAGCGGTCAACGCTTGGATTATAACAATTTTGTCAAAAGTTGAAACCGCATTTTTTGCATTTTTTGGATGTTTTATGTTTCATAATTAAATGAGTGACATTATTATTTATGCATTTAAATTTTGTTTTATTTAATACTAGCTGGTACCCGGCGCGTTGCTGCCACGGAAAAAATAGTTGTCGACATATCATTTGAAATTTGGAAGAGTTATATTGTTTAATTAGGAATGATAATACTTTTATTGAAGTTGAATGATAATTATATAACTTTCAATAAATTTGTCGGTACAATACGCGCGTCTATCCCACTCTAAGTTAATTGTTCTATGCTTATAATAACCTTCGCAGAAATGCAAGCAATAAGTTGACAAAGTTTTAGCGCAATCTGATGAACGGTATGGCAGCGCATAAAATACGAACAAACGAAAATTATTTTTTAACATTAGATTATAATAGCAGAAAAGAAAGATTTTTATGTGATCGAGACGCGCTGCTATGGCTGCAACACGTATGGGTCTGCTTGATAGGAGAGAGACCACGCTAGCACAGATTATCAAAGTGAAATAATAACATAATACCGCTGTATTTCGTACGGAGAGTAACGAAAACCGGAGACCATTTTTTAATAACGATACATTCCATCGTAGAATGTAGGAGTGACGACTCATAAATTTTTTTATAGGATAGGGTGAGAAACGAATCTTCAAATAAGAATCAAAATGCAGATGCGTCGTCACCTATGAGGACTAAGTAACTACTTTTCCAGTAAACTGGCTGTCCGGTTCTCTACACTTACCATGCGAAACACAGCAGCGTTAAGCTACTATTTTAGGCTGGTATTCTGTGAGAGCGTGGTCGTTCCCCGGTCGAGACGACCCATTCGTGCTACAACTATACTACTAATATGGCTACAGCATAGCGCTACCACGTGAAATTTTGATACTTAGTCGAGGAAAGATAAAGGTGTCTATGGCCCAAAGACATTTAAGTAGTAGATATAGTATACCTATATATTTAAATCTCTTTGGTATGGCCAAAGCATTCACTTACCATCAGGTGTACTCGCGTTTGTCATCATTAGTTGTATAGAAAATTGACAGCACGGATATAAATACACTTCTGTGACGAAACTTATGTTTTCTGTGATTAATTTTTGAATTTCATTGTTTTGTACTTATATTTATAAATTTGACCGGCGGAGTGAGAAATGTGTAATAAGAGAAGTGTGGTGGGCAGGTGATGTTGTGACCAGAATTAAGAAATTAATGTTTCTGTGGTTTGCTGATGTAGAAAGAATTAATGAGGAAAGAGTTACAAAACAAAATTATGTTGTAGAAGTGAACGGCAGAGTCGGCACGGGATGCCCTAAATAGAAGTTTACCGATCAAATTGGAGATATATTGAAGATGGGCCAAGATCGTACCAAATGGAAGTCCGTAGTCTCTGCCTACCCCTCTGGGTGACAGGCGTGAATGTTTGTTATGATATTTATAAGTTTATTTGAAATAACTTACAGGTACATCAGGCCGAGAAGGATAATGGAAATATACATTCTTCAATTCTATGTTGCCTTCAATGGTGTCAGGAACTACTCCGCGGTTTAACATTGGGTTTATTGTCGGAACCATATCAATAAGGTTAAAGATCTGTGCACCAGCACCACGTGCTATCCCAAAGACCTCCATCAAAGTTGACGATATACCAAAGTTAGCAGAACCCATCAAAACTCCAAAGAAGACCTGATAACAAAAAGGTTTTGCGTTTTAAAACCATATAAGTAATTGCACTAATAAAAGGTAGGACTAAAATTTTACAAATGACAAAAAAGTTTCCTTTTTTTGTCTTTTTTGTTTGCCTACCAAAAGTCTACTGTTATCACGCTTGGCGAGCAGCCGCAGTATTTTTTTCTAGGCGTAAGTATCACCGTCTTAACTTTTGCTACCACCAAGTAGCAGTGCGTACACTGATATGTTGAGTCTTAAGAGTATATTATGTAAAGAGCTAGTGAAAACAGGCTGTAAGGTATTCCACCTTAGTTTTCAGTGGTACAACGTATCTGTAGCCTTTTTCGTTTAAAGTTGGTGACAGTCGTCCATGAGCTACAGCAGCCATTTACAATTAGGTGGACAGGTGGACAGTTAGTTCGCTTGTTGCTTAAATTAAAAAAAAAAACTTTATCACGGAAAACTTACAGCTATCATTGTATTGACGTCGTAATTCTCTGGTTCGTCCACCATAAGTCTGTAGCCAAACCAGAAAGAAAGAGCGTAGGAGCAAAATATACAAAAGAATAGAAAACCCATCGATAATCCAGTGAAAAGTCCTGAAACAAATTTTTAATTCAACATCACAATTTCAAAATTGATATAACATAGTATGGTGTCACAGTATGGTCATATGTGTAATAAATACTATAGTGAGTCAACTCGGCGACTAGATGGAGCAACGATGGGGCGCGGTATCAAGGAGAGCGGAGCGCCCCCCCCCACCCTGGCCGTGACGTCAGCGGTAGTACCGGCGGCTTCGCTTGTGTACCGGTACGCCCGTTTATGAGTGTCACGTACACGGAATTAGTTGTGCGCGTTTGGTATTCACCCAGCAACATGATATTACCCGATATAATTTTCAAATATTGGGAAAGATCGTAAGACGATTTAAGTAAAATTAAATTCTAATAAGCATGGGGCCGTGAAATAAAAAGGGAGATGTTCTGCCCGGAGAGCGGCCGCTCCGAGTGGTAGTTCGAAGCTATTCTATATAATATACTGATTTTACTTCGGACTTTGATAGCGCGACTAAGGCTTCGATGTATTTCGCTTGTGGCGCAACGACAGCGTCGCCACAACCATGTGATAGCTTTTCATCACAATATTTAATGTAAGGATGAGAATTCATTATATCATTAAATTCAACAAAAGACCTCAATAATAAATATCGTAAATATTTGTTGGTTGCACATCTGTAACGAGGCGGTTGAATAAACAGAACCAAAGAATAATTTTAACCTGTTTTATTTATTCTGTTCAACCCCCTATCAAATATTTTAAGCGGAATACCTGAGATACTGCTATATATAGGTAAAACATAGTCAAATGAGGTAGCTACCGCCAGTACCAGCACAAGCCTTTGTTTCCAACGCGACGAATTAGGTAAAACTGCGAAACGCAACTAGTTTTGTAAAGTAGTAATTAGTTTTATCTTTGTATAGAAAAATAAATTATTATGAGGAATACTGATAAAATAATGTTATGATATTATAATATTATCTAAGGAAATGTTTTTATGACAAACCTTGCATATTTTTAGCAAGGAAATGTCGAAACAGTTTTGTAGGTATTTTGCGGTATATCAAAGAATTGGACCCACTATTAGTATTTATTACACATAATATGGTATGGTCTAGACAGAAATTTTGACAATGTAGAGTTTGAGATTGTGTACTGGCAACTAGTATTTTTTTATAGAATAAGGGTGACTAACGAGCACACAGTCCACCTGATAGTAAGTGGATACGGTGGCCCATAGACATCTACATTTATCCTCAAATAAGAAGTAAATTAACCATTAGAGCCGTGGTAGCTCAGATGGTTAGCACTCGCTGTAAGCTTCACAGTACTCGAGCAACCCGGGTTCGATCCCCGCCGGCACCAATGAAATTTCACCAATTTTAAGTGCTCATTTACCACGTGCTCGGCGGTGAAGGAAAACATCGTGAGGAAACCCGCATGTCTGAGAAATAAGAAAAAAAAATATTTCGAAGACATGTGAAGTTCGCCAACATGCATTGGGGCAGCGCGGCGGACATTTCCTTGCCCTAAAACCCTCTCAGAAATGAGAGGAGGCCTGTGCCCAGCAGTGGGATGTAAACAGGCTGCAACTTTACTTTACTTTTTTAAGAATTAAAAATGCAAATGTACTGTCACCCCTGAGGACTGAGATGAAATGCCTCGTTTTCAGTAAAAAGAGTCTTCGGTTCTCTACGCTCACTATACGCAAAATAGCAATTTGACATTGATATTATGTGAGAGCGTGGTCCTACCCCGTTCGAGGTGACCTATTCGTGCTACAACCACAATATAGCCGCAGCGTGCTGTTTTACCACATAAGAGCAACGTAATAGCAACTTAATACCAACAAAAGGAAGTGATAGAAAGGAAGTCAGAATTAATATTGCTTAATGCAGGAAAAATTGAGAGCCACAGTATCTACTAATAAAATATTGCTTGAATAAAATTATTAAGTTTGTAAAGTGATACGACTATTGAACATAGGCCTCCACCAGGAAATGCCACAAAAGACGATCCTGTGCCACCTGCATCCATTGACCTCCTATACGTGTTACCAGGTGGCCATTACCTAGTGGGGATTATAGAAATGATATAATATGTTAATTGATATACTCGTATATATAAATAAGTCTTGACGTTAAATTTATAAAAAGCGTTCGCGATGTAATGTAATAGATTTGTATAGTTCAGTTTTCACTACATTCGGACGTCTCAATAATTTGAGATTTTGCACGTGTAATATGAACTGATGACAATACAATAATTTTATAACCATGTCCTAGTATTCTATCATATGAATGCGTGTTGTTTATGTTCCTTTAAACGCTAAAATTATTACATTAACATTCAGAAGTTACAGTCGTATCTTATTTTTAACACCCCTTCTTTAAGTTTGACCTGTATGTAATGTGTATTAACGTAATGGAATTTTATAATACAGTTCTTACCCACTTCTGGAAGTTTAATAATCTGAAACTGCAGACGTAATCAAAACTGATATTAATACGATAATTTGATATTTATGAAGTAGTATTTTTATAGGGATCGTCAAAGCTCATGACCAATACGTGACGTTTAAATTTTTTTGCCGTCTAATGTTATTTTACTCCGTTTATATCTTTAAAGTATCTACTCGTAAGTGAAGTATAAATTGTATAGTGTTTGTATTATGATATGCTTCTAGACATTGCGATATTTTCTGGTCGTCAATAAGGATGGCAATTGCGTGAAAGGTTATAAATATTTTCGTAGTCAGCAAACATAGAGACATTCAATTGTCGTCTTTGTAATCGTTACGAAGATCAAGATCTTAAGATTAACTAGTGGGTTGCGGTTCATACATGTTTGAAGTGCTCCAAGTAAACTTAGAATACAACACTAACAATAGAGACACTTACGAGTGATACAGGATAAATGTGAAATATTTTAACCTAGAACTACGACGCCAAATGGGCGTTCATAACGAGAAATACTCGGGTCGTAGAATATATGTGCGTGGTCCTTAATGTTTATAAAAACATGTTCTTCACATAAATATTTTCACGATGACGGAACCGGTTTATAAGAATGTCATTAAAATTCATATTAATACTCAATATGGTGCTATCTATAAATTTAATCTCTTCGTTCCATTTGATTAAAGCAGACACTAAAATAAATGAAGCACTGTCGCTAAAAGTTATCAACTATGTTATTGTGATAGATAATTTGTAATTTCATTTTTTTTATTTAAACCTACAATATATTTGATATTAAAATGAATATTGCGAAAAGAAAACGCATAATGAGCGAAAAAATATATAAATATAAATTTCATGAATAAACCCAATATAGTTGTAGAATTATTAAGGTCTGAAAAGGACCGTTTTTATCACGCATTGATTCATGAGTGAAAAAACCTAAATCCAGCTTTCGTCACCCGTAAGTGTTCAACACACAGCATTTGAGTCACCTTCGTGAAATCATTGAACCATTTCGCAACACCAATCAACACGACGAAGTTTTTGGGCCTCTGTCAAATTATGAGGTATCCACCGGGCACAAAGCTTCCTAGAAGCTAAATTTTCATGGAGGATTTTGTGCACTTGACTCATACCAATGTCTAAGCTTGTCCGAATTTGCTGATAAGTTACTCTTTTGTCAGTCTCTATCAGCGGCGTAGCACAACACTGATGTTATCTTCAGTCGTCGCCGTAGAAGGCCGCCCTCAGAAAGATCATCGGTGAGATTAGTGCGACCACATTTAAACTCATTAAACCAGTTGTAAACAGTGTCACGAGATGGGGCTTCATCGCGAAAGGCCAATCTAAGTCCATCATAACTTTCTTGTTGACTTAAATGACATCGAAAGTCATAAAAAATCATTGCACGAAAATTTTCTCGCGTTAAATTCATGCTGATGTGACACAGACAATTTTCAATTTGCCGCCAAATCGTAAACAAATGACAAATTAATAAAATACATACACATTAAAATTAGCAGTTTCATTTTCAAAATTTGAACTTATTTTTTTATTATATCGATTACAAGTGGCCAGTTCTAAAAACTTTCATTGTCGCCCTCGTATTTATTAATGTTCATAAAAACGTGGTCTTCGCATTCTTTGAAATTACGGTACCGTTAAATAAAAAAGTAATTAAAAAGGCTACACGTGCATAATGTTCGTGAAATACCGATGACTGCACTTAAAAACGTGATAGTGAAACCAAAATTTGATGTTTGGGTTTAATTTAACACCCATGTAGTATAATATGGTTTTTAGTCTTATTTCATACTTACACGGGTCGAAGTGACGCCCTAAGGCCTAGGGATTCCTAAATTTCAATTGGCTAAAGCTAGAAAGTCTTTTTTAAATAAATGGATAAAATTTTACATTAAACTCTTTAAGAATATAGTGTGAAAATAGTTAAGGTAGTTTTGTTACAATTACAAGGAGCCTTCTATATAATGGATGATTATATAAATGACAATCGATAAATATGAAACCAACTCGTACTTGGCACTGCAAATCCCCTGGCTACTGATATTATACTTTTAATCTTGACTTTGACATGTTCCTTGGATTTAAAGGAAAGTCTCTCCTCTTTTACTATTTCTAAAAGGTTTAAAGGTAAGAAGTGTCCGCCACGCTGTCTCCACACTTTGCCGTCAAATTTCTACGGCTCTTGTTTTTATTACTATAAATACTTAATTAGCACACTGCAAATATGTGAGCGTATTGAAAAATTAAATATTTTTTTAACTTTACCTTTCTTAATATTGATACTTCTAGACTCGTCTAGGTGCACTTTGTATCTTTCTTTCTCCTTCTCTTGCCCACTAAAAGCATATATGGTGCGCATCGAGGACAGAACTTCTTCGGCCACTGCGCTAGCTTTTCCAGAAGCTACTGCTTCTTTTTTAGACAGCCGGGATGCGATCTGTAGTTTAAGAAAAGTTTATTCATAAACGTAATGACAATACATGGATTGCCTTTTTATGGCGTGTGCGATTAATTTTGTGTTTGTGAGGACTGAAATTGGAAAATAATGCCTAAGTAACATTGAAAGATTGAATTTTTTTTTTTAATTCTGTTTACCTTTCTAGATTTTACATAGCTTTATATTTTATCATAATAAATCAAAGATTTTTTAAATTCTGTTTAGGATTATTTATAATCTTACGAGCATCAAAATCTACTGCTGATTACTGCGAAAACTACGGCTCAGAGTGTTAAACATGGTATCACATATATCTTTTATTTATTTTACGGAAAACCAACATTAAGGCGCATGGTGGAGCAAAATGTCGCGCTAGTCGTTATTTGTACAGTTTTTAGGAGCTATCTCCTTTTTATTAAAAAGATATATCAAATAATAAAAAACACATTATATTCCTTAATTCCATGAGTCATATCCAATTTTTTATAAAAGGAATAAATATTAAAATAATCTCATTACAACGAAACCACATAAATGTGAAATAATTATTGATAACATGCATCTCCTCGTAAAGTAAGCATTATTTTATTTTGCGATTGACACTAATGGATAGGCAATTTATTAATGAACATTTCTATCATAAATTTTTTTTCAAAAGACAAAAATTTAATTTTATTAAGAAAATATATTAAAAACTGGGCGTATTCACTACCCACGGGGTTGCTGGAGTCAGTGAGCGCTAAGCTCTTGAAGGTGAAACCCGTGTTGTTAGTTACCGCGTTGGCCAGCGCACATGTCGCTGACGTCATCTTATCAGTCGATAATATATTTATTACTTATTAGGTTATTTATAGGTAGTATTATTTTTTTGTTTTGGGTATAATTTTTCGTATTAGTTATACATACATTTGTTGAGTTTTTTACTGCGCGATGAAGCTTTTTGCGTGTATTTTCTTTGAAGTAAATGCAAATATAAAAATGAAACACCATTAGCATGTAAGGTTCGAATCCATAATTAACATTTCGACCAATATTATAATTTACACTATAAAAAGCTAATTCCATATTATCAATATAGTATACAGTTAAAAATAATCCTAATACCTAACCACAATATCATAGTAGGTATAGTAATTCGGTAAAAAGTATCTAAGTAGGTATTATATTATACCTACCCAGTATAACTAATCACAATAGGTGCCTTTGTAAGTATTATGATTAGGTAAAAGGTACTTATCTAAATAGTTACCTACTTTTACTAACTAATACCTACCCGGGCATTATTTAATTACAACCCAAAAACCTCTATACCTAAACTGACCATTTATTTTTTAACTCAAAACGGGACATGGGTTTATTTACATTCTAAAAACTAAACTTTATACAGTTAGTGTTCACTATAAAATTATATTCGATATAGATGGTGTTTAGGCCCAAAAATGGTCATTTGAGACGGCTTCCCATCGCCTTCGACTTAGCGAATCGCCCGATGGTGTTAGGTGTCACGCGCGGCTCGGGGAGGAGGCATCGGTATGCAGCTTTCCAGCGTTTGGCGCTCGTGGGCGAAAACAGTAGCTTGAGAGCAGCGGTGCGGTCAATTAGCGTATTTTGGTTACCGCTGCATATACTTCGCGCGACCAGTTTTTTGGGTTTATTGTCTAGATTTTTTAGTATTTGTGAGCGTTACTTCGCTACTGAATTGTGGTTTCGTGAAGACCGCCTCGGTTTAGTTTGTCTAAGTTGTACGTTTGTGACAAGAGGCTTATTTTGAATTTAAGTGATTAGAGTAATTTCGTTGCAATTGTACCGTTGCGTTAAGAGCCTTTTGTGTGGTGACTCTTTAGTTACTTTGTGCGTCAGCTAGGTTGATTTTGAATTCTTTTGAATTCTTATTCTATATTTGTAATTTGGTAATAAATTAATCCGGAACCTTGAATATTGAACTTTGAATTACTGTTCTTTACTTGTGTCGGGTATCACGTGTTTGATTTTACGATGAACCTTGAATTAGTTGAGTTGAAGTTAGTTAAATGTACAATAAAGTTGATAGACCGAAATAGTGACATGAAGAAAGAAGTTGTCACTTGGTGACGCCTGCTGGAGTGATGCAGCATTGTGGGGCAGCATTGGATCAGGCCGCTGCCGGTCACCTCAGCTGGGCTAGGTCACATAAATATACACACCACTAAACACCACTTTACATGCATCTACTACTACCTACGGCCTGACCGAGCCTTGGTGCGGTCTTAGCTTCGGATCCAGGTACGTACCATTTATTTACCTAGCCTTCTCCCTATTGTGTAATATGATATGTCAATTGTCCATAAGATCATTTGGGCCCGAACCCTCAGCTGCCCGTCGAGGAGGCTACTATGGGCCCTAGCCAAGGCGACCTTTGCAGGGGCAGCTGGGGCCGCAACAGATGGTAATTATTAAATGCAACATTTTTTTTAAATTATTTATTATATTTGTCAGTGGAACAAATTTGCTTTAATAAAGTTGGTGATGATTTTAAATAAGAATAAAATTTTGGGCAAGTTTTTTTTATTGTTACCTTTGTTAAGTTAACAATGTTAACAACATCGCCTTTAGAACTGAAACCGTAAGTGTTTTCTTCAGACGTCCACAATTTATTCAAAATAGAAAAAAACCCTTTCTACTGGAGCATTTGTACCAGGTAGACATAAAATATATTCGATTAAAAATATTATGTTAAAGATTGTTGGTGCGAAAGACTTTGAATACTTCCATCCAACGAGTTACGAGACAATTTTGTATCCCGGAGCTTTGTTTGGGGACAATGGGGCAGGTGACCGAGAAAAGGGACAGTCCCGTTCAAAACGGGACGTATGGTCACTTTACCTATAAGCCTTATACTTCTTGTTGATTTTTGTATTACCTTTATTAAATTTACCCTTATGTATAAATAAATATAATTACGTATGTAGAAATAAAATTGAATAAAAATAAAAACAAACATGTTTTTTTTTCATCATCATCAATCATTGGGGTGAGTATAATGTCAGTCAGCATAAGTAATAAGCAGTCTAAGTTACAAGGTGCTCAGTTCAAAAATTAGTAGGTAGGTATATGTTACCTTTCAATACGTGACACGTAAAAATTAACAATAATCAAAAACACATTTGCGAAACATTCTATTTATTTATTTATTCTTTATTGCACCAAATATTTGTACAAAAGGCGAGCTATCTATCTGTTTACCTATAGTGAGTAGGTATCTTTTAAACTCACAATTTTCAGTGCTTCATTTTAATATATAATTAATTATAAAATTTCATAATTAGATAATATATGAGAATACATAATTCCAATATATACCAACTAATATACCGAATAAATAAATAATTAATTTTTTTAGATTATGTTTTCGAGACCTTTCAATAATCTTAGTTGCATAAATTAAAAGAAAACTCACCAGTCCTGAGACGCCGACCAGGAACAAAGTGACAGGAAATGTTACTAAACAAAGAAGTGCAAGCTTCCAGCCCTTGATGAGCGCCATCGCTATGGAACTAACAAAAGCTGACTGATAAAATATAAATGTGCCCAGTTTTTCTCCGATACCTTCCTCTAATTTCACAACATCGCTGAAAAAAAATTTATCTATCGAATCATTCAGATACACACAATAATAACATATATTATGTTCTAATGTTATTATATTATATAATATTATATATTATTATATTATTATCATATAATATAACAATGAAATTAGTTCATTCTTCGAAATATTGACCTGCCGTGTGGTGGCGAGTTAAGAGAATCACTTTCACCTCACTTTTATCTCGTGGATTTTCTAAAAGGGACTAAATATTTATTGCGAAATTATTATATTCTATTTTTATTTTTATAATTTTTTATTTTCTTTATTTTTTTATATTTTTTTTAGTTACATTTACATATTTACATCTAATTTACATAAATTAGATGTAAATATGTAAATGTAATGTCGGCTTGACCGGGAAATAACCACGATCTTACAAAATACCAGCGTGGAATAACAGGTTAATGATTGTTCAGGGTACCGTAGGGAACCGAAGACTCTTTTAGGGGTAACAAGACGTTCTGTCTTGGCTCTCAGTTGTGACAGTCAGACGTTTTGATTAATATAGGCTAGATGTAGGTGTCTATTGGCCACAGCTTACCATATAAGGTGGGCCGTGTGCTCTTTTGTCACTTATTCTAAAAAAAACATAAATTAAAGTAAAGTTGCAGCCTATTTATGTCCCACTGCTGGGCACAGGCCTCCTCTCATTTCTGAGAGGATTTAGGGCAAGGAAATATCCGCTGCCCTGCCCTAATGCGTGTTGGCGAACTTCACATGTCTTCGAAATATTTTTTTTCTTATTTCTCAGACATGCAGGTTTCCTCACGATGTTTTCCTTCACCGCCGAGCACGTGGTAAATCAGCACTTAAAATTAGAATTAACAATTTCATTGGTGCCGGCGGGGATCGAACCCGGGTTGCTCGAGTACTGTGAAGCTTACATTACGCTAACCATCTGAGCTACCACGGCTCAAAAAAAAAACATAATATAAAACAAACGAAGAAGAAAATTATGTCGAAAGAGATCTTCGAAATATCATAATCTACAAATAGAAACACTTGACAGAGCATTATAAAAAGGAAAATAGTTACAGCCACGCCAGGATTTCGCCTGGGTAGGATCTATTAATGTTGCGTCATTTAGGTTTAGGATTATAGGCGTTAATGTTCTATAATCTCAAATCATTTTCATTTCTCAAAAAAAAAAACAATATTAAATTTAAATTTCAGATAAAATATAGCCATTTTTTATAGAATAAGGGTGACAAACGAGATAACACGAATAGACATCTACATTTATCCTCAATTAAGAATCAAAATGCAGATGCGCCGCCACCCCTGAGGACTGAGATGGAGTGCCTCATTTCCAGTAAAAAGGGTCTCCGGTTCTCTACACTCACATACGAAACAGCAGCATTGAGCTGCTATTTTACGCTGGTATTCTGTGAGAGCGTGGTCCTACCCCGGTCCAGCCGACCCATTCGTGCTGCAACCACAATATAGCTACAGCATGGCTCAACCACGTAAAAATATATGTAATAATATATATATATATATATATATATATATATATATATATACTATAATATATGTATAGATGTACAGATGATAACATTATCAGCCACTTACTCAGTCATTTTAGATGCAAAATCACCAGTTTGATGCATGTCGAAGTACTCAAAATCTTGATTCAACGCCGCTTTTAAATATTCTTGCCGAATTTTATACACCTGCGAGGTTAACAGATTAAGAGTTTATAACTACTAAAGCACTAGTACTACTAACTGCTGATGACATCTTCCGTGTACTATATTTAGTAGGACTAATGAGATTTTTTTCCCTAGTGGTCTTACCAGCAAGACTACTCGTAAGAAAATTCTCAGTAGTCTTACTTGGGAGAGTATTTAGCAATACTAGTGAGAATGCACCACGCCATGCAGGTTCCCAATAGATTTTCAAGTAAAACTATTAGGAACAACATTTCTCAGTAGCCTTACCAGCAAGACCACTAGTAAGAAAATTTGGAGTAGTCTTACTGCTAGGGCCACTTGGTAAGATTAACAATATGAAAACAATAACTCATTACGAATATAGTGTTGGTAGGTTTTCCTATCACGGTTCTCAGAACGGTGTTATCTGAAGGGCTTTCCGTTGCTAGGCACAGGCCTCCTATCATTTCTGAAAGGGTTTTAGGGCAAGGGAATGTCCGCCACGCTGCCCTTATGCGTGTTGGAGAACTTCACATGTCTCGAAATATTTTTTCCTTCTTATTTAAACATGCAGGTGTTCTCACGATGTTTTCCTTCACCGCCGAGCACGCGGTAAATCAGCACTTAAAACTCCGATTAACAATTTCATTGGTGCCTAGCTAGCGTACTGTAAAATTGACAGCGAGCGCTTCGCAACTGAGCTACCAGGGCTCTTAGGGATAAACAATAAAATTATTAAGAATAAATAAAGCAATAAATGGCCTACATACGGCCCACTGGGCGCAGAGCTCCTGGTTTTAGGGCGGGGAAGAGTACGTCGCGCTGCCTCAGTGCGTATTGAAAGACTTCACATTTCCTTAAAATATCTTAGTATCTCATTTTTTTCTCCTATGATGTTTTCTTTTACCGCCAAGCACATCAGAAATCAGTACTTAAAATGACTGATTGCTCGCTCACTACGAAATTTGGCCCATAAATTATCAAGGCCCGACACAAAGCAATATATCACTTATTATTATTACACTTACCTGATTATAAGCTGAAATGTTCATTAAGACGGTTGCTACGTAAGACATTATAACCAAGACTAATCCCAATGCACAGTTGTACAGCGCGAAGTAACCCACGTCTCTGAGGAACTCATCATTTTGTGGTGTTCCCATCACAACTGATATACCGTAGTCTACCATACTTTGTAATAGAGAGGCAAACAGTAGCGTGTTTAAAGGCGTTGTTATTCCGCATATTATCGAACTCAATATTCCAATAACTATGAAGATTTTATCTCTGGTGCTTGCAAACCTGAACTGTGAAACAAAAGAAACATTTCAAAGGTAAACACTGTCTTTTTTATCTTACAGTAGGGGAGCCCACGGGGCTATGCCCTCGAGGGCTGTATGAACGTATCCTGCTAAAAGGTGAACGAATCCGGAACAGTTATATTACACACCGTTACATTTATAGCCTACTAAAGTCTATTGTTAAACATAGGCCTCCCTCAAAGATTGACACATAGGGGGCATATTTGCCATAGTTGCCATGCTCTTGGCGAGCGGGTCGGCAACCTCAGTTTATTTTTTATTTTTAGTCGTTATTAGGGAGGCACTGCTGCCCATCTTCTGATTTGTTTATCTCTGTCGCCTTTTCCGACACCCACAGAATGATATGGGGTAGTGGATACGATAAACTGGTGTGTCATATGGACAATTAATACGAATAACGATAGCAGCGAGTTTAACAACAGCCAAAAAACCTTTTAAAGATATCGCGCATCTGCATATACTCGTATATACCTATGTATATCTATTATAATCTTTTTTAATCTTTTTGCGCTAAAAGCACTCCAACATAATTTGATCGTGCGATGTGATGATCCTAGTGAGAATACTAGGTCTTAATCATGAATTTATTGTATTCACATCGGTTCTTAACTGCAAAATTTCACGCAGGCTTCAGGCACCGCGTTGCACCCCGTCGCGTTGTGTCGTTTTGGACATTGTACATACCAATTTAAGTACCTAAATGTACTTAATTTGGATACTTAATTTGGTATGAAGAATGTCCAAACCGACACGACGCGACGGGGTGCAACGCGGTGCCTGAGGCCTGTGTAAAATTTTGCAGTTAAGAACCGATGTGAATACAACGAAAACCTGAGATCTTTTTGAAATTTCCCATTATGTAGTAATGATAAACTCTTATTCCGTCACTATACGGAATCAAATTTCGAAATCAAAACTATTTATGCGGTTTTTTTTATTAACACCGTTTTCTGTCAGACTAAGTTTGTCAATTTTATGAAGCTTACATCTACGCTTGTAATGAAATAAAATAATATAAATAAAGATATGTTTAGCGATGAGTCTGTCAAAAGCATAAGCTTTTGATATACTCATCGTTTTAGACGACTTTTAGTGTATAAATAGACGTATATAAAGTATATAATCGATCAAAGACGGCAGAGTCATAAATAGGTTAACGTATTTACCATTTAGGGTTTTGTCACTACTTAAAGTCGTGTGAAATCTTGTCTGTTAATGTTTAAAAAATACTTCTACTTACCAGCGTGAAAAATGATATACTAGGCAATGCCTCTGTCTTTAACTCCGTATCGGAGGAACTGTAACAAATAATAATTAATTATTATTGTAATATTATACGCAATAATTTTTTATGTGGTGGAACCATGCTGCAGCTATATTATGGTTGTAGCACGAATGGGTCGGCTCGACCAGGAAAAGACCACACTCACAGAACACGAACATGAAATAGCACCCTTTTTACTGGAAACGATGCATTCATTCCAGATTAGAAATCGATTATAGATGTAGATGTCTATGGGCCACAACATCTACCTACCAACAGGTGGACTGTGTGCTCGTTTGTCACCATTATCCTATTAAAATATATAATATAGTATGCAGAACACAAATGAGCATAGAAGCTAAGTGACTAAATGCGCATATTTTTCTTAACTATAAATTGTTCTTCACTTATTAATTACATCTATTTACAATAATCCGAAACTTATATTTTTATAACTAATAGATGTTTTCCTAATATAGAGATCTATATAAAGATCTACTAATTAATATGGATAGCTTCGGCTAACTTTTAAAGCCCCAAATTATGGACGTATAAATAAACATACTTGCACCGCCGCCATTACAGTGCATCATTCCTTTCTTAACAAAATTCTGTCCGCCTTATTTATACGTCCATGCCCCAGATGCACTCAGAGGTCTCCCCTATATTGGAATATTACAATCTTAATCGTTAAACTGGAACACAGCAGTGGGTTGGAACAAGAGCACTAACCTAATATTTTTATACACAACTAAAGTCATAAACGAACAGACTGTCAACCTGATGATAAGCGACTACTGCAATCAGAAAACGTTCCATCTTTGTCCATAAAGGACTAAGATTGAATGCTTTCTGACTTTCTCCTTTCTAACTCCTTTCCAACATTTCTACTTCATGTATCGTATCTGCGGCGCGGGGCGCTGACGTGTATCATGATTGTTAATTTTGACGCATAATTATCGCGAACATGTGTGATACGTCGTTGTGATTACGTATCTGATCTGTTCCGTTGCGCACTTAACTTCTATTTAATAAAAATAAGGATGTGCATACTTTAAACACTAGGAACAAAGATAAGCTTGTAATGCCAGTTATTAGACTCCACAGAATCAGTAATTCATTTATGGGGCAATGTATACGCTTTTACAACAGAATCCCAAAACATGTTCAAAGTTTGTCGATAAACAAGTTTAAAAGTTTTATTAAAGAAAAACTGTACAAAAAGTGTTATTATAATGTCAAGGAATACATGAATGAAAATAACCCCTGGGAATAAGGTGATCGCCACCATACTGGTTCTATGAAAAATCATCTAAAAATTGTGTAAAAGAAATTATTGTTAAGTGAAATATGTTTGAAAAAAAAAGGCCCGCTGGGTTTCTTGCTGGTTCTTCCCAGGACAGAGGTATTTTCCGAACCAGTGGTAAATAAAAAATGACTTTCAATAAGTATTATGTAATAATCAATATTGAAATAAAAAAATATTCTATTCTATTCTTCGTATCTGGATGTACTTTGTACATCTTACCTCGTGCAGTATGAATGTATTTTGATCTTATCGTATATTTGATTTTATCGTGATACGATGATGCGATACGATACGGCTACTAGTGATACCATTATAATGTGGCTATAATATTAATAATACTATTTTTCTATTCCTTATTTTTATTTCCAGCGAGATCGGATGATCCATTCTACACGGACGGCATTTCGTGTGATAAAGGCCTTACCCCGTCTTTCCTTAGCGAACGAGCAAGACCCGGCAGTACAGAGCATTTCCGTCTGTGAGACCGTATGGAAGGAAAAGGAGCTCCACGAGAGGAGTCCTTAGAGGACTAAGATGGAATGGTTTCTGACTATCTCCTTTCTACAGACTGGAACACAGCAGTGCAAGCACTACTATTTGATGGCAAAACAACAAGGCTAAAAAGAAGCCATCCTTCATGTTTTGCACTTATAGCTTCCTTATATGCTTGTTTATCTACTATATGGAGTCTAACATTTATCAACATATGATTATAAACTATAATATCAGAAAATTTTTGTTATCTTATGAGTGCGCATTCTATTAAGCGCTAGTCAAAACCCATACGATCGCTGTAGTACGGTGTAACACTGACGCACACTACAATGTTCCCTCTGTGTGCATGACTGTGTGAGTGCTAAGACACTAGTACGAATCATTTTGATACTATTAATTTTTGTGATTTTATTGTGTAGTACAAACTACATTCTTTTATTGTTAACAAAATAAAAACAAAGGCAAAGATTCTTGTATTAAATTTTTAAGTCGCAAATTTCTGACATTTTTCATAAAAGTCCAATAATATTAGTTTCATTTTTGTCTTCCAAAATACGTCTTATTGTGGTCTTATTGGAATTTCTTATCCTATCTACACGGTATTTTGATTCTTAACTGAGATCGATCTCTGAATCGATGTATTCTATGAGTCACAGAAACCACTTACCTACTATCATTTGGACTGTGTTGGTTAGTCACCCTTATTCTATAAAACAAAGTCCATAGCGGCAAAATTTTTGGGACAAAAAATAATTTATTTTCCATAACAAAAAATTAAAAAGAAGCGTTTTATCTAAAAAAAAATTAGCAAGTAATTTTTTTTAAACAATTTGAAATAAAAACTAAGTTATTAAAATTGATCTATCTATTATTAACATCTTTCTTAGCTACCTTTAACGTTTTTCCCTTTTTTTAATTTAGGTTACACTTAAACATGAACGCGATTTAAAAAATAAACTTACGCATTTAGAGTATTTATCAGTAAAATCATTTAATTAGTTACTTTTTATGTTGCCAGTTTTTTCAATTCGGTTTTGATAAAATTCCTGATTTTAAAAACTTGCCCTTAATATTAGTATGGCAATTATTAGGGTTTTTATAGAAGAGGGGACAAACGAGCATGCGGCTCATCTGATGGTAAGTGACTACCGCCGCCCATGAACAACTCCCACACCAGGGGAATTGCAGATGCGTTGCCGGCCTTTTATAAGCTCTTTTCTTGAAGGTCCCCACGTCGTATCGGTCCGGAAAAATCGCCGGTGGTAAACAATTCCACAGAGAAGTTGTACGAGGAAGAAAACTCCTAGTAAAACGCACAGTCTTGGACCGCCAAGCATCCAGATGGTGAGGATGGTATCGTGAATTTTGACGCGATGTGCGTTCGTGAAATTTGGCGGCTTATTGCCAACTTCAAATCGTTTAATCTGAAGTTGTGTTTGAAACAATAAGTTCATAAGGCACATAAATGAAATAACCTCAAATTATGAATTTAGTTATTACAGATAGACTAATATAGTAAATTGGCTAACGCGAGTATTGAAAAAAATAGTAGGGCTTACATAACTTTAAACAATATATATTTAAAGAAAATGAAGACTTAAAAATAAACTTACATACTAATACCTAAATAAACTAAACCAATATATAATCATAAAAACAAAAATAATATAATAACTTTCTTAGTTTTCAACTTCGACAATTGGCACTTTCCAGCAGACAGATCTCTGGCAATGACTGGAACCTTTGTTCCACTTAAATCGCTTCTTCAGTACGAGCTGTATTGAAGTTGCGTAGTTCTTAGTTGGAGATCTGTCTGTCCAGTTGCCTATAGCTGTCATACTTGTGGAAGACTAAAGCTTCATTTCCTATCTGACAGTCATGAGATGAAGAGTATGATTGGAAATATTTAGGTTCTTCTGCGACTGGTTTTTTTTTACACTTTTCCTCCGACAATGTGATTCGGAGACCTTTTCTATCTTTTAAGCATCATTTTGTCAGAATATGGTTTTTTTTTCTGGCCTTTGAGTTAAGTCTTTATTAATTTTTATTTCTTTTATTTACTTCTTTTGTAACTCTTTCGCAATAACTTATAAATTTATATCTGGTTTTCTTATTTGCTAATATTTCAGGTAATGTTCCTTTTTTAATCTTTTGTGCTATGCTTTGTTCTAGATTGTATCGTATTTTGTAGTGTATCGGACATTCTGTTATTACATGTAGAACGGTTTCTATAACTTGTAGATCACATTTACAAGCGGGGCTTGATTTGCATTTAAACCGGTATAGGTAATCTGAGAAACATCCATGTCCTGTTAAAATTTGTACCATCAGTGGGGAGGGACTTATCTGTTTGATTATTTTATATCCTAGTAATACGTTAGGTAAAAATATTTTGGTTGTAGCAGCTGTGTCATTCTGTAAGTACCTGTCATTCCATTTCAGAACTGTTTCTTCCGTATTATTTGTTTTATAAATGATAAGGGACATTTGTCATAATCGGACGCAGCCTTTTTGTAAAGCGCTGCATTTTTAGCTAACTCATCCGCCCTTTCATTGCCCAAAAGTCCTGTGTGGGCTTTCACCCAGTAAAGGCTTACATTTTTATTTTGTTTTATTAAGTATGTTATATTTTTTCTAATTTGAAAAGCTAAGGGATTGAAACTGTTGGAATTTTTAAGGAGTTCTAAAGAGGATTCCGAGTCACTTAAAATACAGAAATTTATGTCTTTACACTTTATGATTAGTTCAGTTGCTTGTAAAATGGCGTACATTTCGGCTTGAAAAACTGAACAGAATGATTCTAGTTTATATTTTTTGGTTTTAATTTCTTTATTATTCTTCCAATATGAAAGTGAAGCGCCGACTTTTCCGTTAATTTTGCTACCGTCTGTGAATATTTGAATACTATTGTTATTTTGAATTTGTAGTTCTCCTGAGGTATCTAACTTTTCATAAGTAATTTCAATATGTTCTGATGGATGGGGTGATTCGATATAAGGTATTGGATGCTCTACTTCTCTGTCATTAATTATTTGTGTTTGTGGTATTCCTTTTTTGCTTCATATATTTTTGCCGCTTCGTGCGCTCGGAGATCCAATGGTAGAAGACCTGACAGGATGATTGCTGCATTCAGAGATACAGTTCGGTAGGATTTACATATTTTTTGGGCAAAGCTTCTTTGTCAGTACAAAGAGCTAATATATAAAAACAGCTAAATACAGTTATTTAGC